CAATCCCGGTCTAGCATTTTGTAGGTTCTGAAGGTTTGTCTCTAGTTGTGAGACTTTCAAAGTACTTGCTGTTTGAATGGAGGAGAGCTGTTCCTTAGTTGACTCAAATTTTTGCTCGGTGTTACGGAGTTTTTGAAGCAGTTCTTTGATCCGGATATTTGAGTTTTTGAGCTGTTCTTTTGTTTTTGAAATTTCACAGCGAAGAGATAAGGTTAAGTCCACACATTTGTGAAAAGCAGTTTGCTTAAGACTGTGGAATGGCGAGTTTGGCGCAGAAGACTGGTGCACTGAAAAAAAACAACTAGTAAATTTACTACAAATAAGCACATATTAAAAACAGATAAAGAATTTCACAGATAAACGTCCGAATTTAATATTAATTATTAAAAAGTTATACTAATTCGAAAATGTTAATTTTTGCTCGGTGATAATAATGTCGATCTTTTAACACCTGTCACATTTTCAAATCGTGTTCCTAAATACACGACTAAGACTAAGTTTGCTTCGTATGTTTTCTTCGTCTTTTCACCCTTGATCGGAAACTCAGATGCAGTCTGTGGATTGTTTGAATCAATAAAATAAAGAAGTTTAGGTGTATAAAAACTTAATTCATTATTTCTCTAAAGATTTTATTAATTAAATCATGGGCATTTGTTTCTGTGATAATTTTAACTCATAGTAGAGTAATGATATTTTAAAAATATTGATTTTTAAAAATATATCACAACCCCAAAGAAATAAAAAATAAAATAAAAAAGTCTTTGTTCTTTGCGTATAAACCCTTCAAGGTCCTTAAAAAAAATCAAGAAGCGTTTGTTAATTGACATATCTAATTCTTTTTAAAATCGCTTGCATACATGTACCTGTTAGATAATAAAATAAATACTACATGTGTATTTGTATTACTACAGGTTTAATTGACGTTGATATCTCGAGAAAATCAAGATATTAGAAGAGGTATTTGCCCGGGCGTGACGAGGAGGGGTACGGCAGTGAAAAGGTTCTATTCTGCAACGTGTCTGTGGAAGGAAGGGGTGGGGGGGGGGGCTTAACCTATACTGCAATTTTCAATGGTGACGTCTCCATATCAGTGAAATATTCTAGGGAGGGACGTTAAACAGTATACAATCAATCAATGCCTATACTATGTCTGAGAAAAAAGCCCCCCACCCCTCTCGGTTCCGACGCCTGTGAACAGTGTAATAATGTAAATTTTTATATGGAGTTCAAAATAAAACAAACGTCTGGATGTGTACTAACCTCTGCTGGACCAAATAATAATTATTTGGCAAATTGCCGTTAGAAGTTATTTCTAGCCTTCTTTTTAAAAATCAGGACCAGACTAAAAGTCCCTTGAAGCGAACGATGTCATTTTTAAGTAGGTTAATAATTGATTTAATATTAACAAAATACGAGTTTGATGTGGCAGGCGCGGATCCAGAAATTTTTTCCAGGGGGGGGGGTCCACCCAGTCAAGAAAAATATTCCAATCCCAAAAATTTCTTGACAAGCAAAAAAAAAAAAAAAAAAGAAAACCTTCACTCGCCGAACGTGAAAAACCTACTTCGTGGGGGGGGGGGGGGGGGGGGAATCTTTGACTTCTATTGCCTCAAATCTTTCACTTTTCATACCCATTTTACTCATATTCAAGTTCACCAGGGGGGTCAACGGTTTCCAGGTGGGGTCCAAGGTGACTTTTTTCTTGCTACAGTATATACATTTTTAACAGTGTAAATTCCAGGGGGGGGGGTCCTGTGCCCCCCCCCCCCCTCTAGATCCGTGCATGCCACTGTGGGGTGCCTGAAAATGAGTTAGGTATCTTGTGATAAATATAAGTACCTTATACTTATAAGTATATGGGTCATTCTCAAATTTTGTCCAGATTCCATCAAGAGAATTTAGAGAAAATAAATCCTGAGAACTAAATACTTTACAGTTTTATGTTAGTAATGAAACATCAGAGATGCGTAAAAAATGTTGAAACACTAAGAATTCTATCAACATTTACTATAAAATCCATTTTAAGTAGGTGCATCCAGCAATAAACGTCCATTGTGTTACTTACTTAGAAATCGCAATAAAATAATAACTAACAAAAATTTACGGTTTCTAGAATCATAATCTCAAAATCTTGATCAAAAATATTCTATCAAAACAAACTGAGGGTTCTTAAGAAAGAAATTTCAGATGACATGAAGCTGAAAGTTGTTAGAATTATAAAATTTGATTATTCTTACATATATATCTTAAGGATATGTCATTTTACCTAAGCATGAAATACTGGCTTTGTGAATATACTTTGTATTAGAAGACCACAGGATTATGTAGCAAGTTTTGATAAAATTGTAGAAAGATTTGGAAAATACATTCAGGAAACATAGGTAATCAAAGATTACGAAGCTCACCTCGACGAATGTTATCAGTTTAAGTACTGCAAATCTCACATCATATTTTCTTAATATTAAGTATTCATCCCAACAACAATATTCTTGCAAGTTGTGTTTAACCCCTTACATGGTTAATATACACATTTCTACGCGTGTAGCATGAAAAACATGTATAGTGTAAACAAATATTCATAACTTTGTTAATACTGCAGATATCAAGGACTAAAAGTTCATTCGGATTGATCTGTTCCCGAAACTTTAACCTGGTCTCTTGTATGGAAAATATAGATCAGATCCAGCATTCGAAGCAAGTCTGGTAGTGTCCATCCCTAGATACATCATCCATACAAGTTTGGTTTAGCTAAGGCATATAGTTACTTGGGAATGAAAATGTAGGTCAGATCCAGCATCCGAAACAAGTCTGTTAGTTTCCATCCCTAGATACATCATCCATGCAAGTTTGGTTCAGGTAGGGCTTATAGTTACTTGAGAATGAAAATGTAGGTCAGATCCAGCATCCGAAGCAAGTCTGATAGTTTCCATCCCTAGATGCATCATCCATGCAAGTTTGGTCCAAATAGGGCTTATAGTTACTTGGGAATGAAAATGTAGGTCAGATCCAGCATCCGAAGCTAGTCTGGTAGTGTCCATCCCCAGATATATCATCAATGCAAGTTTGGTTCAGGTAGGGCTTATAGTTACTTGGGAATGAAAATGTAGGTCAGATCCAGCATCCGAAGCAAGTCTGGTAGTGTCCATCCCTAGATGCATCATCCATGCAAGTTTGGTCCAAATAGGACTTATAGTTACTTGGGAATGAAAATATAGGTCAAATCCAGCATCCGAAGCTAGTCTGGTAGTGTCCATCCCTAGATATATCATCAATGCAAGTTTGGTTCAGGTAGGGCTTATAGTTACTTGGGAATGAAAATGTAGGTCAGATCCAGCATCCGAAGCAAGTCTGGTAGTGTCCATCCCTAGATGCATCATCCATGCAAGTTTGGTCCAAATAGGGCTTATAGTTCCTGAGGAATGGACCTGCTCCAAAAACTTTAACCTGGTCACTCATCTGGAAAATGTCGGTCAGATCCAGCATCCGAAGCAAGTATTGTAGTGTCCATCCCTAGATGCATCATCCATGCAAGTTTGGTCCAGGTAGGGCTTATAGTTCCTTGGGAATAGACCTGCTCCAAAAACTTTAACCTGGTCACTCATCTGGAAAATGTAGGTCAGATCCAGCATCCGAAGCAAGTCTGGCAGTGTACATCCCTAGATGCATCATCCATGCAAGTTTGGTCCGGGTAGTGCTTATAATTTCTTTGGGAATGGACCTGCTCCAAAAACTTTAACCTGCTCCAAAAACTTTAACCTGGTCACTCATCTAGAAAATGTAGGTCAGATCCAGCATCCGAAGCAAGTCTGGTAGTGTGCACCCCTAGATGCATCATCCATGCAAGTTTGGTTCAGGTAGGGCTTATAGTTACTTGGGAATAGACTTGCTCCTAAAACTTTAACCTGGGACGCCGACACTAACGCCGACGCCGACGCCAACGCCGGGGGTATAGCATAAGCTCATCTCGACTTCGTCGAGGTGAGCTAAAAATGGTTGAGTTACACCAAGGACATATTCATAACACAAAGGACATAAAAGTAACACAAAAGACGTTTTGTTCAAACCTTAAGAATAAATAATAAACTTGTTCCCCTTCCCCCGCAAAAAGCACAACAATGGCATTATCTAATAGATGTTAATGAAAGTATATGATTTTAAGAAAAAAATTGCTTGAGATTTCATTTCTTTTTACATTTGGAGTCTGACTAGTAACACCAATGATTAAAAAGTAACAACATAGACATAATTGTCCAATTATAAAGATACGTAAACATCAACAAAAAATAAAAATAAGTTATGCATGAATAATGCAGGATTACTATCATAGGACCTAGAATCTTTGATCGGTGCATGTACAAGTATATGTCCAAAAAGAAGTTGTAACACCAAAGACAAAAGATAACACAATGGACATCTCATTTTATTTGTTTTGTTTTACATACAGCCTCCTTCCACACTGGGTTATCTATTCAATATTTCCTACCTACAGGATGTGGAGGACGAATTATAACCAAAACATCACCTATGTTGTACTAATATTAATCTTTTACAGTTTTTGGTCAAATTTAGTTTGTTTTTTTTTTCATTACTGCTTTGATCATACATGAAGTTCTGATTGTCTCTTTTCCAGTGTTTCAGCATTTTTATCTGGCTTCTTTTCCAGTGTCTCAGTGTTTTCAGTATTTTTATTCATTTTTTTTCCAGGAACTCTGGTGCTCTAGTTTCTCTTCATATGTACTCTTTTGTATGCCCTTCCTTTTTTATAAATTATTTGATTTTATGTTAAGTGTTGATCAGCTGCATAAAGAATATAATACCTTATATACTTACCTGTATACGAAACAAATGCCTGCACTTATAGGGCATGGAAAGATAAACATTCTGACGAATAATGAAGGCTGTGACAAATGCGCGGGGAGACATTGAAGATAATGAGAGTTTTTGAGCCTTTGGGGAAAAAGTAAAACGGGCTGAAATTTGTGTCCTTAAGGTGCCGCCATACTCGTGAGCGTGTTTATGGAAAAGCCAAAGCCCAAATCAAACCGAAAGTTGAAAGCTTAAAAAAGGGGTAAGTTAATTGATTTTCATGATTTTATTTACATATAGGGGTAAATACTCAAACCATCTCTGCTTTTGAAATTCTATTTATGTTAACATGACTCATTATCATTAACATGTCTGTGTATTGTTTCACTTTCAGGTGCAAGGTGAAATGGCGTCATCTCTGCCTCTGTTGCTAATTTTTCTCCGTTTTGCTGATGCAGCTCAGAATTTTCAGGAAGTATCTGTTTGTCCACGGAATGCGGACACATGGAAAATAGAATCGGACAAAAAAAATTGTCAGGGGGACACGCCCGACTATCTGTGTGCAGCGATAGAAAACAATGTTGGCAAATTCGGGGAAATATGCACGAAATATGGACTCTCCCCTGAAAGTAAGTAGGCCACTGTGTCATAAATCAGGAGGCAGAGATTTAACTGAATAAGGCCTATTCAGTATTTGTTTTAATATAATATTGATTTGTCCATGATTGTAATAAATAAATAATAAAGAAAGAAATATTTTCTACTACACTCGACATCGAGGCAACTGGACAGGAAGAGTGTTTCTCAATAAGCTTTATACTTCATATTAAACAATAATTTTAAAAAATGATACATGTAAGGTTTAATATATATTCCAGTTTACAGTGCTACACAAATATGGCATTGTCAATGGGGTTTCGTCACAGGCGCTTAATTGTTTCATACAGTACACTATAGTTTTCTTAAGTATGTAATATATAGGCCTATACTAAGCATATTGTATTAAAGAAGTGCCTGTGGATTTCATCTGCACATGCTCAGGGGAGACTGAAATAATTTTGACAATGTGCATAAAAATTAGTGTTCTTATGCATTAAAATTACTTAATTAATGATACTAGTCTTATAAGTTGAGAATTAATCATTAACAACATGAACAAAATATTGTAACTGTTTGATGAGTGTCAGAGTACTTGCACTGCAGCATTTAGGAATAATCACTTTCCCACATAGAAATTTTTTGTGTCTAAAAATCTCAGCTTGATCTTGTCAAGAATAAAAATTTTAGACTTTAGATACGTCTCTTGCAAATCTTAGATCAGTGCCACTTATTAAGTGATTCAGGAAATAAAACACAACATTGATTGCCTGTTATGATGAAAATAGGTCATGAAATGGATTCCCTATCTGTCTCAACTTTTAATTTGCTTTGGACCTTTTTCTCCACTTTCAAACATTAGTAAATCATCTAGCTGTCTTTCCCTCCCTATTTAAAAAAAAATTTATATTTTATACACCCCAAAACCTTTATTAGTCATCTCTACAGGCAAAAAAATTGCTTGAATTAGAATTTTCTGCAATCCCTCTGACAATTCAAATCAAGCCAGTTTATCACCTGTAGAGGCGACTATAAAGGGTTGAGAGGAGGATAAAATATCCAAATTGGTTTAAGAATGTGGAATTAGGGGATGAAACGTAGATGATCTACCAAAGTTGGAAAGTGGAGGAATTGTCCCAAACAGTGCGCAAAAAATCTTGCGCCGTAAATTACATTTTTTGCATTACGGGATCTGTAGCATTAGGGTCAAAGATAATTTATAAACCATAACGCTACAGTTCTGCAGCAAGGTTTGGAAGACAATTCAGCCCAGTGCACTTTGTGTAGATGTCAACTATAAAAGTATATGAGATATAGTAAAGTCTAAGAATTTTCTGAAGTTGAGCTTTTCTGCATGCAGCTGAGGGAGGAATTAGGAGAAACAAATCCAAATCCAAGTGAATATTCTCCACAGTGCACAGAAAATAAACGCAGGTGCTTGGGGGCGGGACTCCGCCCCCCCCCCCCCCCCCCCCTTTCCGTGTTCCATACTCCAAGGGTTCTTTGACCTTTTTGATTAAAATATATTTCTATGACATATTCACAAAGTATTACTACTAAAAATTCCAAAATTTAAGCTAAAACTAGCCCTTTATAAAAATCCATACCCTCTGATACTAAAACATCTTCTGTTTTAGTATCAGAGGGTATTCATTTTGGCAAAACTGATGGGTATTCTACTTTTTAAGAGTTAACTCAAATGAGTTACTTCTTTGTATAGTCATAAATAAATGCAGTAACCTATACAAGTTATTTTATAAAATAACTTGATTCCATGATGCCCCTGACTGTTTACTTGTAGTGTGATTACTATACTTTTTCCAGTTACTATGTGCAGATCAAATACAATTTCAATTTCTGAATTTTCAATATCCAAAGAATAAATTACCAATATTCTAGTTTGCAATTGCATGCACTTGTAATAGCAATGAGTTACCAATTTATATCTGCCCAATATCAAAGTCCAATTTATATGTGACCTGCATTTTCTTCACCCTGTTCACAATAGCTGTTGATTGAGGTACAGGCATGAGCTCTTAAAAAGATTATTAATTAAGAAAAAGAGAAAAATATTTTTTTTGTTTGGAACAAATATTTGTTTTGTTTTGTAAGATAATGTCTTTCAATTTGACAGAAAAATGTGCTGTGTTGAACAATCAGACCCATAATCTGGACTCTGTAGACTGTAAAGCAGCGATAGGATGTCCAGAAAACCCCTACAATCCCTCCGAGTTGTGGAAGTGTAAGTTATTTAGTAATTCATTGTTCCCTCCCAATGAGGTTGGAGGGGATATAGTAATGTGCTTGTGAATGAGCGAGTGTGTGTGTGCATAACCAATGTAAGAAATAATATACGTCAGATTAATATGTGCTCTTTTGCTCCACTTTGAAGTACCTTTTTTAACTTTTTATCTAAAATTTGATTTGTTAACATGTACACATAAGTAGGTACATTGAATGTAGAATTTGAACAGCTGTAATATTACTTTTCACTAGACATGTTTTAGTGTTATCATCATGTTATAAATTAATTACAGCTGTATAATCGATTAGTTTAGTTGATTATGTTTATAAAGTAAGGAGGGTACTCAGGATAGGAACTTTAATATTTCCTTTTAAGTATAACACAGTCATAGTGAAAAGCTACATGTAACTGTTAGGTTTTGATTTAAAAAAAAATAGATGACATTGCAAACATATCCATGATGACTCAACTGTTATGACTTTTTTCTGAAAATAAAGAAGGAGAGGATTTAATTTTAGCTATTGCTCTTAGCTAGATTGAGGTCATGGTCAGGATTTGTAATATTACTGACTCGCTGCTTTTATATTTAATATTTATTTTTACTTGATATATAAATACAGACATATAAAGCAATAAGATTCTTAAAGGTACCTAAAGGCTAGAGGCAATGATATTTATTTTCTCTGATGGATGATATTTGCATACATGGATTGAGTCATTATACATTATATGTTCTTCATAATATTTGCTATATATATATATATATATATATATATATATATATATATATATATATTAATAACTTGCATTAGAATGGTTTTTATTTTCATCTCAAATACTTAATAGCAGTAATACATACTTGAATTTTTATGAAAAAAAAATCAATCATTATAATGTCTACCCCATCCTCCCTTTTAAAAGGGAGGCTGAAAGCTTGAGCTTTTCTAATCACCCAGTGTCTGACATCAGTCTGTGTAGCTGTCTGTCTGCCTGGAAACTTTTCACATTAAGAATCACTAGACAAATTTTAACCAAAGTTGGTACAATTTCATTCTTGGTCAAAGGAAATTTGTATTTGTTAAAATGATCAAAGAACTACACCCCCTTTCAAGAGGAGATAATTACATGTGAGGAAAAGCACAAATAGGGTCGAGCCATTAAAAAACCTTCTGGAGAAGAACTCTGGACTAGAATAGCTGAAAGTACCTTGAGCTGGTGTAGATTCTAAATTGTGAAAATCACTGACTCCTGAGTTTTGGAGGGGCCACAAAATGGAATCAAAGTTTCGAAACACATGTGTATCAGTTCTTATTAAAGTAATAGAACATTACTATGGAACATGCAGTTCTATATACACATGATACATGTACACTATTTGAAGACGAATAATTTATGATTTATACAAAAATTTCAAACATTTACCATAGGATGCCAGGGTAAATAAGCTTATTTGATACACACATATACAATGCATTTAAAGATCATAAAATTCACTAAATGTGTTGCATTGTTTTAAATAGATATCCTTTATTATATATGACACATACTTATAAATATAATACTGAAAAATAAACACAATACTTATTCTTTAGAAAATTTAAATTCTTGTAGGGCACGGCTTAGCTGTATATAGATCGTATCACAAGTAGAAAAATTCCTCTTATGCAAAGAGGTAAATAAAGCAGTATCATTTTCAGAAGAGATATGACATGCCCATTGAGAGACGTACTTGTAATTTGAAGCATTGAGAAAATCTCTTCCTTTTATACACATCTCCAAGTCTTTCATGATACACTTCATATGTACTTGTAATTTTGAACATTGTTCAAGTTTTTTTTTATTTTTTCAGAAGTTGAATTAGTAGTTTACATGATTTCTGTTTTCTTTTGAGGACCTGAAAACAAAAATATTAAAAAATTGCTATAAATAATTTCTTAAATAGTAAACATAACAAGCTAAGAAAAAAGTTTTTATGATCGGTGAGTTATGCATTTATAATGACCTCCAGCTTATATCAAAACTTCAGATATTGTCAAATATGGTCCAAAAATTTACATTTAGTACTAATTGATATTTTTGCAAGATTATTCTGAGATTTACATACAAATACATGTTTATTTATCTTGCTTTTTTTTTTTTTTTTTTAGACAAAATTATATTTAAAATAGATTAATAAATACCTTCATTATTGCACAAGATCCCTCAAAATGGTACATTTAAATGTTTTTGTTGAGATTTTGTTCAGAAGGGGAATATCCCTTCCTACACCCTCTTTGCACTCACCTTTTCAGAAACTATAGGGCCTGTTTTACAAAAGTTATGACAGGGACTGAAATTTTAATTTCTCTTTCAACTTTTTAATTTAGATTGAATTGAAATGCAGGTTTAAATCTCTTTAAAGGGAACACTGAAAAAAAATTAACTTAAGCAATTTTAAACATTTCAATAATTTTGCAAAAGTTTATTGTGAACTAAAGTTTTTATTTTGGTCCATCTACACTAGCCAAGGGTATCTGATACGCTTCTCTCCTCATGAACCATTGGCATACGGTGAAGTCAAAAGACAGGATTGTTTTTGTCACTTGATCTCGAATCTACTAGGTACGCACAGATTGCATCATCGACAGAAATAAAGACATGATTTATAAAAAAAAATTAAATAAAAATTTTCTTAAAGAATAACTATGAAGCAGATATTGAATTATGTTTATTTATTATTTAAGGAATGAAGCTAATTTCAACTTATGTTATCCGATATAACATAACTTGGGGCAGTTTACGCTTTATAAACCGCGAAATTTAATTTCTGTGTAGACAATGAGGCAATATTTCCTCCGGAAAAAGTCTTCAAATTGAGCATTATTTTAAAAGTAACGTCAAGCGGAGTAATACGTTTTTGACGTAACTGATTGTGACGTAGGCAAGTTATGTTATACAAAATGTTATATGTTCCTCTGAATGATTCAGCCAATGAAATTGCTTGATACAAGTGAAATTAAATTATTTATATATATAGTACAAATCTGAAGCTCCAATATAGATTATTAATCACGTATTTAGAAGATATTGGATGACACCATAGCTATTCATAGAATTGCAGGTTATCTTACAGATTGTTATTTACTTGCGTTTTTCATTCCTGAGATTAAAGAGTAAAGATGTATCCCAAAAGCGGATATTAACATTTACAAAAACAATTGCTGATTGGTTGATTGGGTGTACCGAATCCCAATCAGAACTCGAGAAAAAAAACCAACTTCTATATAAACACCGTATGCCAAGGGATTATGAGTATAGAGTAGAGTATCGGAACCCTTGGCTAGTGAAGATGATTTGGTCGTAAGTTAATTCTTTTGTAAAACAGCTAAGGCTTCATGTAGTTAGCTGGCATTGGCTTGGGTTAGTGTGGCTTCTTTTATAGGCAAAGACATTTTTACAGAATTTCTAATTGTTTTAATTAATGGATCATTGAACAGATAATTTTTAAAATTAATATAAATTTAACAAATATTAAAAAATTATTTGCAAAGTTATCAACTCTTAGCATAGGTTTCAATGACAGAGGTAAAAACAAAACAAGTCATATTCATGTATGAGAAGATGGAAGAATTGATCCAACACAGAAACCTGGAGACCCTGCTTTTTTGAGATGTTAGCTATGAAAAAATGCCAATTTGGTATTGAACTTACTGTTCTTTCCAGTCTATTCTTATTCTTTTGCACCCTGTTACTCAGCATGAAACTGCATGGATATCTGATGAGAAATAAGCATACATAAATTATTCTGAATTTTCTGCTAATTAAGAATTATGCACATCCTAATTAAATTTCTGCAAAAATATCTAAAAAATCATCTACTGAAACATCCTCTATTTTTTTTTCCTGTGAATATGGTGAAAGGGTTCAATTTTTTTCAAATTAAATGTCCCATCAATTCACTAAATGTCCATTGATGTCTGTGTCATACAGGTAACATTAATTCAATTCATGTTGTATGTTTAATATTTGCACAATTTCTCTTTAACTAGATCCAATATGCTATGAAAATTTTTATGGAACGTAAGTATAATTTATGCATGTATAATCCTATGCATTTAATGTGGGCTTCAATTTTCAAAGAAGTAAAAATTTACCCTTTCAAAAAATTATGGGATATGTGTTTGATTTACTGGAAATAACATGTGTTTTAATTAAGCTTGAAGTTTTATTTAAATTATTAAAAGATTGTGTATTTTAATCGTAGCTTGTAACTGATGTTTCCATACATTATATAGATCTCCAGCCCCTCCCCCCACTACCGCTACCACAGTCCAGACAACTGCTCCTCCTGTGTCAGGGTAGGTATCAGTGTCATTAATTACAATAATCGTGAATCAGAGTCATGTTGATTTTTAATCAATATTCATTTGATAAAATGATTTTATATATGTATGTATTATTCAAGTGTTTGTTAGGGCTTAAATACATCCCTGTTGCTTGGTGTGAAATTTTCTTCCCCATTAACCAACATGATAAAAAGTTTTACAGAAATTTTAACATTTTGTAATAAAGGTTTGTAATAATTCAGATTTCAACATTTAAAAACAGGGAAGTTTAAGATTAAAAAAAAAAATCCCAAAATAAATATCACAAAATTAAGAAGTTCCTATGATTTGGCAAGAAAAAATTTAGTCAGCCACAAAACATTCACAACAGTCTCACAGCGGTTGAAATTTGGATACTTTTCACTGAACACATGTAGATCTCTGTATTCACAAGTTCTACCCATAGTCTAGGTAACTTTTGCTAATGTTTTTAAGACATATATTAGAAAGGCTTCACACTGAGTGATTTTATTTTTTTTCAAAGTGGATGCTGTTTCTTTGACAAAGCTATCAAGTATATTGACAATATCTGTAAAAACTAGATAATTTTGCAGCTCGATCTATACTCAAATTTTAGAAAAGTTTCTGAACATAGACAGAGTCCAAAGATGGCAAAGATGTTGTTTCTTCGAGTGTTATATACATAAGTTTAATAATGATATTATAAATGACATTTTTTCATTGCTAGTGTGTTTGAGTGCACCTCAGGCCTTTGGGATTTTTTTTAATATCATGACCTGTTTAATAGTTTTGGTGATGTTGTGATGCATGCATGCATGTTTGAAGTGAATTTCTAAGACTGATGATAACATTTTTTTTTTCTATACATGCAACAATTTAAAGATTTGCAATATTTTAATTATGTTAATTAGGTGAGAATTGCATTCTAATCACATCTAATGTGTTTGTAAGATTGTTTTATGAAAATAACTGATTTTTTGAATGTCAATCTCTAATTTTTTACACTACTAAACAGTTAATGAGTAGTCTCTGAGAGTAATTAAGAAATCATTATTTTTTGTGGGGTCATTTTTTTTGTTTTCATGGTATGAACAGAGCTCCAGATAATTTTTTACTCCAGCGTGTATTTACTCCCTGATTTTAAATTCAATGCAGATTTTGATTTTCAGCAAAATGAATGAAGAGCATTTTGTTAAAATATAAATGCTTTGACGTTTATTTTGATTTTGACCTTGTTATCGAAATACATAAAGTATACACTGCAAGGTCTCTCTACAGCAATTTAATTGGAATTGTAATTATTCAGAGGTGTTTTTTTTTAAAGTATGATCTTCACTGCTTTTTAGCTCACCTGAGCCAAAGGATCAAGTGTTCAAGCTTTTCTGATCACATTTTGTCCGTAGTCCGTCTATACGTCCGTCCGTCCGTCTGTAAACTTTTCACATTTTCAACTTCTCAAGAACCACTGGACCAATTGGGTACAAAGTATCCTTGGCTGATGGGGAATTTAAATTGTTAAAATAAAGGGCCAAGTCCCCTTCCAAGTGGAGATAATCAAGAAAAGACAAAAATAGGGTGGGGTCATTAAAAAATCTTCTTCTCAAGAACCAGTGGGCTAGGGAAGCTGAAACTTATATGGAAGAATCCTGGGGTAGTGTAAATTCTAAATTATAAAAATCATGACCCCCGGGGGTAGGGCGGGTCCACAATAAGGAATCCAAGTTTTACATAGAAATATATAGGAAAAATATTTAAAAATCTTCTCAAGAACCAGTGGGCCAGAATAACTGAAACTTATGTGGGAGCATCCTGGGGTAGTGTAGATTCTAAATTGTTAAAATCAATTGACCCCCGGGGGTAGGGCGGGGCCACAATAGGGAGTCCAACTTTTACATGTAAATATATAAGGAAAATCTTTAAAAAATTTCTTCTCAAGAACCAGTGGGCCAGGATAGCTGAAACTTATGTGGAAGCATCCTGGGGTAGTGTAGATTGTAAATTGTTAAAATCATGACCCCAGGGGATAGAGCGGGGCCACAATAGTGAATCCAAGTTTTACATAGAAATATATTGGAAAAATCTTCTTCTCAAGAACCAGTGGGCCAGAATAACTGAAACTTATGTGGGAGCATCCTGGGGTAGTGTAGATTTTAAATTGTTAAAATCAAGAGGGGGGGGTGGTGGTGGGGGGGAGGGGGGGTAAGGGGCCACAATTGATATAAGAAGAGGGGAAATCTGGTAAAGAACTGCATCACCAATGTTACTAAGGTGAGTGATGTGGCCCATGGGCCTCTCGTTTTACATATCATGTTTTCCTTTGAATTCATCACATTGGAGTTTAATGTTTTCTCCAGCTAAGGCTTTCTCCTGTTTGTTTTCTAGGTACATTTTTTTTGTATTACTTACGTGTATTTAATAACACTTATTGCAATATCATCTTACATAGATGGCACGAGCTTTTGAGTGCTTATAAGTAATTATGCCTAGTGCATAGTCTTTCTATTTAAAGAAATCAATTTTAATCTAAGTTTTGGATTCTTTCTCCCAAAATGGAGATTGTGGTCGCCATTACAAGAATATTCCTGGTTACTAAAATGCTTTTAAATCAGTACTTTCTATTGAGAATATCGTTAGGTAAGTGTACTTGTATTCAACCCATTGTACACAGTACTTGCGTGGTGTAATGCTTATCTATGATTGCTTATGCATAACTGTACGCCCTATTTTAATTTTCAATGCGTATTTTGTAAAATCCAATATGCACCTTATCTGGAGCTCTGGACTATGAAGAGACCCAAAATTCATATTTCCCAGGAAATGTGAAGACAGTACACTGCTGTATGATTTCTGATTTTAACCACAAAATCAAATCCCCCTTACCAGTAACTAATATTTTTCCTCATACCAGAAAAAAATTGACCCCATGAAATTAAGTGATATAACAGTAATCATGTTATGAAGCATGGAATTTATAATTTTGGATGTATTGTAATCATTTGTAGAAATAAAACAGAAAATAAGAGGTAAAATTTTGCGTTTGTTAACTCATTCTATGATGCAAACCATCTAATAGAGCCTGCCTTTATATTTACTCACAATCTGTTTTCTGTATACAGCTGTAATTGGTTGATGTGATGTCCATAATTTTGCTAATTTTGTATATGAGAAAAGATGACTGATATTTGAGTAAGGAATCTTAAAGGCTTCTCAAAAAAAATTCTCATTGATTTGCAATTTCATTAAAATCAGCTGTTCTGATAAGCTACCATGTTCACAAGTTGTAGCTTATCAGAACACCTGATTTTAATCAGATTGATTGATTTTATTTATACAAGTATTATTTTATAAGCATTTATAATTTACTTCGAAAGAAAAAAAGTTTTGAGTAGGAAATATAATGGTTCTATCACATTATCAGGTTATGTCAGCAGAATTTTTGGCAATGTCACATTGACTTGATAAAACCCTAAATATGGATATATTGCTTTTAATGCTAGTTTTCTTTCTTGTTTCATTTGAAATACAACCCAGGTCAAGAGTATAATTCTCCATTGCACAGTAGAAAAAAATGTGTAATATTGTCTGTTTTTGCTGTGTTAAAGAAATATGTAACATGGGGAGCATAAATTAGAAATACAGTGTACTTCAGAGGAGCACATTGTGTTGCACACCATGTTCAGAAAAAAAAATGTGCAGTGTCCATGGTTTATAGAGGGGAGAAAAAGGATTTTTGCGTTTAAAAAAGAAATTATTCAAAAAAAAAAAAAAAAGATTGATTTAAAATGTGTATGTGTATTTTACATGTTTAAAGGCAAGTTCTTTTTAAATTATGCACTCAATTACAAGCTGCAAATAGTAAAGTAATTTATTATATAACTAATAATTACTGTAAACCAACTTTTATTCGCGTGCGAGAAATTTTCGCGAAGTTCGCGAGAGCTTCGTCATCGCGAATATTTATCGCCGCGAAACGGTCCTTAAAGTGAATGTGTCTATTAATAATAGATCCAAAAGGGCTTGGTCGCGAAAATTAATCGTCGCGAATTAGTTTATCACTGGCAAATCGCGAAATAAAGTCGTCGCGAATAAAAGTTGGTTTACAGTAGTCTCTTGTAAATAAAACAAAAAACTAATAAAAGTCCAGAGTATTTTTTTGTTAAATATCTTGGGGTTTTATTGAACACTGAGTTTGTATTACATATATAAGTATGCCCGAATATGAGGGTTCCAAATTAAACACCCCATTGCATACAAAACCTGTCATTTGGTCAGTCCCTCAAAGGCAAATTAAAGAAAGAAAGTTGTAACTAGGTAAGATGTATTTTTTTTGCACAAAAATGAAACTATTTATTAAAAATGTAGTATCTATTAGTCCCACTGAAACCTATATAAGCAAATCATAATGCTGGTAGGGTAATTGAAATGATGCAAAATTGAACACTTAATACAGAATTTTAATTTGAATATCGATACTAAAAAATAACTAATTTGAGTTTTTAGTTGGAATAATTATTATAAATTTATATGCTATGTAATAAAGGAGTTACTGAACTTATATTGGTCAATATTGGCACTCAGCTTTATAAATGCACTCTCAAGCTTGTGCATTTGTACAGCCAACTTGTTCGTGCCAATATTCACCAATATACAAGTTCAATAACCCTGTAATATTGGAACAGGTACACTGTAGGTTATATTTAATTTTTAAATGAAATTCACTGCACTTGTTCATGCCCAAAATTATTTATTAAAATATGTTATGTATGTAGTTATTAAAAGGTAAGTAAAATACATGTATTTATTTTTTAAGTCACCACATAAGTCTCATACACGTAAGTCTTTCATGAACTGCAAACGTTATACTTGTAGTCTTAAAAACCCATAAAATGAAGTTTTCTACTTGGATTTATCTTATATTCTACTTGTATTTCATATATCATTCCTAATTTGAATCCTGCCTTTTCACAAACTTCCTGTTGATAGTTTTAAGAGATAATTTTATTTATAAAAAAACAGACAAAGACATTCATTATCATAAACTAGCACAATCTTATTTTATTTATATTAGCTTAAAATTTATTTTAGTGCTATTCAATCACAAAGAATTACCTGAGACATGTATCAACTTGATAATGAAACTTGTTCAAAAAGTTCACTGCAGCATTCTGTTGTAGATTGTGGTTTTAGTTATAAGATATTGTGTACTTGATCAGTTAATCAGAGATTGAATTTCTTTGCTAAGATTGACTTTCATTTTAACAGACCACAGGAGGGTGGTGGATCAGGAGCAGGAGCAGTAGTAGGAGTGGTGGTGACTGTCTTGATCATTGTGGCTGTAGTGGTGCTAGTGGTGTTTTACTGCAGAAACATGTTTGGTTTCAAGGATAAAATGGAGCCATTGGTTGAAAGTATGTATTCAAAGGTGTCATAAACATCATACAATAGAGCAAACTTCACTAATGGGATTTTGCTGCATAGCTAAGAATTTTTAAAGTCTGAATATATAAGAATAAAAGATTATGATAAACATTAAGTGTCTGTTTTCAAAATTTTTAGATTTCAGAAATCATCTTCCAGGGAACAGAGAGGATGAAACAAGACCCTCTGATAAAACTGGTAGGTTTGGACATCGAGTTTCACACCTGGAACAAGGGGAATTGAAATATTGTTTACTTTAATATCAAATGTAAAAATATTATTGAAAACAAATATATTATGATGATATGTAAAATTCATACATTTAAATGATGGTAACAAGCAATAGTTTGGCCTAATTGTTTTTAGTTGGTTTTGACCAAATGAAATGATCAAAAGTGAACCCTTTTTTCATAGAATTTAAAGTAGCTTTAAAAGTAAGAGTTGCCTACACCTTTAGACCAAATATTACAGACATAATTTGCCAATATACAGGATACTCAATGTTGTGTTGCTGCAAGGATATGAACTTCCATTCTGAAGTGGGACAAAATTCTTAATCATGTTAATTTTGATATATTCATGAGTGTAAATAATAATATCACAAATATCATTTCTCCCAAATGAATACTACATCACAGTCTATCACAAATTGCCATAAATATCTGCAGCTGTTAATTGAGCTGTTTTGATTGACTTGAAAAGGTAATACATGTAGATGACTTGAAGCTGTAGTTTTGGTAAAAATTAAAGAAATATAATTGATTTACGTACTCTACACAAAGATGTAGTTTGAATGTACAAAATTAGTGTAAAATGCTAAAATAAAACAAACTTGAGATTGCACACAAGAGGGACACATACAATCTCTAAACAAATCCAAATACTTTATCTAAACTTAACAAAGTAATCTGAATGAATTGAGACACCAATAGTAGGTTTGTCTTGGAAGGATTTATATTAAATTGCATTTTTCATAAACTGTATGAAATAAGGAATGCATTCTATTTTTGTTTAAATAGGTCAGGAGATTGGAGTAGCAGATGAGACTGAAAAGCATCTACTTCTAGGTAAATATCTACCTCAAAGAGTAAAGATGAAGACTTGAACAAATGATTTCAAGGATTAAAATAAATTAATTTGCAAAGATAACATTTAGAGCCATATGTGATTGTTTTTTTAGATGCTCATCAAAGTTTAATAGTGTTTAGGTGTCATTTGTAATTTTTTAAAAACAATTATATCATCTGCTCCAGAACTACATGGTCAATCTTAGCAAAACTCAGTTTTTAGCTCTACTGGTCAGAGACCAGAAGAGCTTATGCGATAGTAATGCGTCCGGCATCCGTCCGTCTGTCGTGCTGTCTGTCTGTCCGTCTGTCTGTAAACAATTTTTAGCTCACCTGAGCCGAAGGCTCAAGTGAGCTTTTCTGATCACATTTTGTCTTTAGTCCGTCTGTCCGTCCGTCTGTCTAGCTGTCTGTGTGTCTGTAAACTTTTTCACATTTTCGACTTCTTCTCAAGAACCGCTAGGCCAATTTCAACCAAACTTGCCACAAAGCATCCTTGGGTGAAGGAGATTTAAGTTTGTTCAAATGAAGGGCCATGCCCTCATTCAAGAGGAGATAATTGGGAATTAATAAAAATTTAGTGGCATGTTTTAAAAATCTTCTTCTCAAGAACCACTGTGCCAGGAGAGATGAAACTTATATGGAAGCATCCTCAAGTAGTGTAGATTCAAGTTTGTTCAAATCATGACCCCCCGGGGGTAGGGCGGGGCCACAATGGCCGACCGAAGTTTTACATAGAAATATATAGGAAAATTCTTTTAAAATCTTCTTCTAAAGAACCATTGTGCCAGGAAAGATGAAACTTATATGGAAGCATCCTCAGGTAGTGTAGATTCAACTTTCTTCAAATCATGACCCTGGGGGGTAGGGCGGGGCCATAATGGCCGACCAAAGTTTTACATAGTAATGTATAGGCAAATTTTTTAAAAATCTTCTTCTCAAGAACCACTGTGCCAGGAAAGATGAAACTTATATGGAAGCATGCTCAGGTAGTGTAGATTCAAATTTGTTCAAATCATGACCCTCAAGGGTAGGGCGGGGCCACAATGGCCGACTAAAGTTTTACATAGAACGATATAGGAAAATTCTTTAAAAATCTTCTTCTCAAGAACCACTATGCAAGAAAAGCTGAAACTTATATGGAAGTATCCTCAGGTAGTGTAGATTCAAGTTTGTTCAAATCATGACCCCCAGAAGTAGGGCTGGGCCAAAATGGCCGATCAAAGTTTTATATAGGAATATATAGGAAAACTCTTTAAAAATCTTCTGATGAAGAATAGTAATGCCATAATTGATCATATTTATATGGAAGCATCATCAGGTTGTGTAGATTCATATTTGTTCAGATCATGACCCCCGGGGGTAGGGCGGGGCCACAGTGGATGACCAAAGTTTTAAATAAAAATATTTAGGAAAATTCCTTAAAAATCTTCTTCTCAAGAATAGTGAAGTCATAATTGATCATATTTATATGGAAGCATCCTCAGATAGTGTAGATTCAAGTTTGTTGAAATCATGACCCCGGGGGTAGGGGAGGGGGCAAAATGGCCAACCAAAGTTTTACGAAGAACTATACAGGAAAATTCTTTAAAAATCTTCTTCTCAAGAAAAGCAAAGCTATAATTGTTCATATTTATATGGAAGCATCCTCAGGTAGTGTAGATTCAAGTTTGTTCAAATCATGACCCTCAGGGGTAGGGCGGGGACAAAATGGCCAACCAAATTTTTTGCATAGAAATATATAGGAAAATTTTTAAAAATTTCTTCTCAAGAATAGCAAAGCCATGATTGGTCATGGGACTACTTTTGGATTTAAACTTTTCAATAATAAACCAATTTCTACTTTTTCCTAGCCACAGTGCTCAGGTGAGCGATGTGGCCCATGGGCCTCTTGTTCAAAATGCTACTCCTCCTACAGTTTTGGTCTAATTTCAATATAACTTGGCACACAAGTAGACTACACTAAGATACATAATTCTGTATATCGGTTTTTGATTTCGATAAACGGTGTTGCCGTGGTAACTAAAAATAGACATTTCTGTGAAATTTCTTTCAAAATGCTATTCCTCCTACAGTTTTGGTCTGATTTCATTATAACTTGGCAAACAAGTAGACTACACTAATTAAGATACATAATTCTGTGTATCGGTTTTTGATTTCAATAAATGGTTGCCGTGGTTACTAAAAATAGAAATTTCATTAAAATGGTTTCAAAATGCTACTCATCCTACAGTTTTGGTCTGATTTCAATATAGACTACACTAAGGTACATCATTTGTGTATATCGGTTTTTGATTTCCATGAATGGTGTAGTCGTGGTTACTAAAAATAGAAATTTCTGTAAAATTGTTTCAAAATGCTTTTCCTCCTACAGTTTTGGTCTGATTTCAATATAACTTGGCACACAAGTAGACTACACTAAGATCCATAATTGTGTGTATCGGTTTTTGATTTCCTTGAATGATGTTGCCGTGGTTACTAAAAATAACTAGAACTGTCCAATAGGGACAAATACCCCCGCTGGGTTTTTCAGAGTAGGTGCAAATTCACAAATATTTATGGATCTATTAAGAGGTGCTCACTATTTTCTTAGAAACAATTTGAGAGCTCATTATATATATTTTTATATGCCCGTCTTAAGACGGGACGTATTATGTTATAGGCTTCGCGTCCGTCCGTCTGTCCGTCTGTCTGTCTGTCCGTCTGTCTGTTAGCTTTTTCGTTTCCGGCTCATAACTTTAATACTATTAGGCCTAGGATTATCAAACTTTGTCATCTGATGCATCTTGGGTAGAAGGTGTGTCGCACACAAAAAGTAGGTCGCTCTGACCTTTTATTAAGAAGTTATAGCCAAATATGGAAAAATCCTTTCCGGCCCATAACTAGAAAACTATAAGACTAACAATCATCAAACTTGGCCAGTTTATGCGTCTTAGGTAGAAGGTGTGTCGCGACCTATTTCAAGGTCACTGTGACCTTTAATTTAAGTGAAATTTAAAAAAAAAATGTGTCTTTTTACTATTCATTTAAGCATCCCAAATAATGTAAGAGTATTGCTCTCTTCTTATTTAAAAGTAAAAAAAATCAAGAAAATAGTTATTTTTTTAAGCATATACTTGACAGCAATCTATAACAAATATAATGTATGTTAGAGAAATCCTACCTCTCCCTTGAGTGTAATTATCAAGCACTGGTCAAGAAGAATTTTGATAACAGAAAATTGCATGTCAAATTAGAGAGAAATTAATGAGTTTTGAGTGTGAGGATCTAACTGATAGAACATCAGTGTTATCTACATCCTTTGGGTATTGGGCAGATGGGTAAGCCTGTTGGATTAAAAATAGCTCTTGTTGGCTAGCCTAAGTTTTAAAATGAATTTGATGAAAAGTAATTAAAACTAATTTGATACTGCATAATAGACTAACCTGATATTATATAATATTATTAATTTAAAAACTAATTTTAAGGGGTGGGGTGGAATCAGCATTTCCATATGAATTACATATTAAAACCTGTCGGACATTAAATCTCAACCAAAAAAAATCGTTGAATATTTTATATGTTTAGAAAAAAATTTATAATAGATAGTGCAGACCCATTCATCTCTTGGTAGTAATGAGTAGACAAGCATCCAGTTAAAGATTAATTAATGAGTTCAATGTAAAAAGGCTAGCTGATCAAGCGGCTTATCTGTATCCTTTGGGGATTAGACAAAAGAAGTGCTGGTCAGTTTATAGCATATGTCATTTGATGGCCAGGCCTTTTCTTTTCAAAATTAATTTGGTATAGATTAAGATGTTAAGACTAATTTGATATTGTTTAATATGATGGGCATTTGACAAGGTCTAACACAACCAGCATAGAAATCTATTAATGATGTAATATTTATTATAATTAATGCCTAGATAACAGGAAATGGATAAATATTTGAAGGAATGGAAAAATCATGGAAATCTTGGAATCAAAGTTGACGTGATTTTCTTGCACACTAAAATGTTCAAGAAAATTGTATTTTTTTTGACGGGCGTATCATGCTGTGGCGCGGCACTTTATTTTAATTAATGAAACTGAGGTGGAACCAAATAAAACATCAATACTAATACATTGTAACAATTTTTTTATTTCACTGAAAAAATAAATTGCAACTATTTGTCATGATACTCTGCAAATTGATTGTTGAAAAAACATTATACAGAATCAAATTAATCTATATAAATTTATATCAAATTCATTTTAGAAATAATAAAGTGCAGTCAGTCTCAGCTTGATACTTCCATCAAATATTGTTCATTCAATTATTATAAACAGTTTAGAGTGCAAGAAAATCATGTCAACCTTTAAAGGGATTTGTGTAATTTTTCCATTGCTTATAATCTCCTGTGGTGCAAGCTTTAATTATAACAAATAATCATCAACTGGTTGCATTATAGCTTGACAAATGCCCCTACTCCACAAACATACACATATGCACATGTCTTTCATGTGGGACATGATGATCTGAAATTGGTCACTTGATACTTTCAAAAAAAAAAAAGAATATCAATTTAACTAATATGTCTTAAAAACTTGATCTATACCAAATTGATTTTAGAAATAGGAGACTGGCCATCAAATGACAAATGCTATTTTCCCAAAGGACACAGATAAAGAGCTCCTTGATCAGAGATATGCTCTAACAGAAATGATTGGGACAGCTTAAGCTTCCCTACATAGAACTCATTAATTAATCTTTGACTGGATGCATGCCCACTAATTGCTATCAAGGGATGAACAGATCTTAACCGTTTCCTTTGTAGTGCAAACAAAATGCATTATTGCATGTGTCATTCTGAAATTAAATCTGAAAACAAAGATTTTGTATAAATTTGTTAAAAAGATTTATACTGAAAAAAAAAAATTGTGTAATCTTGATGCATCATTTTGAATAAGGTTCCTGCATGATTCTTAAGATTTGTAGGGACTATCTAACAAAATTTATTTTTTTTTAAATACTTGATTTATTTGGATTTTATATCATACTAAAAGTTTCAATCTGAAATTAATGTGGAGAATGAGCATGCTGATTCCAATCCCCCCACCCCATCCCCACATACACACACAATATAATTAGTTTTAATTATATTATACAATATCAATTAAGTTTTTTATACAATTTCAAATTAGTTTATTATACAATATCAAATTAGATTGAAGTTGCTTTTTCTCAAATTCATTAAATAAGTTAGGCTAGTCACTAAAACTATTTAAGGCTGATTCCTTAGCCCAGTTCCCAAGAGACAGATAACAAGTTCTTGATCAGAAATGTTCTACAAGTTAGCTCCTTACACTAAACTAATTAATTTCTCTCTAATTTGACATGCAATTTTCTGTTATCAAAATTTTCCTTGACCAGTGCTTCATAATTATACCCTTGGGAGAGGTAGATTTTCTCTTATAAAATAACATTTGTTATGGATTGCTGTAAAGTATATAATAAAAAATATTTTCTTAATTTAACATGTTTTAAATAGGGATACTGCAACATTCTTACATTTTTTGGGATTGTTTAATTCAATAGTAAAAGACAGATATTTTTTTAAATTTCACTTTAATTAAAGGTCACAGTGACCTTGAAATAGGTCATGACACACCTTCTACCCAAGATGCATAAATTGGCCAAGTTTGATAATTGTAAGTCTAATAGTTTTCTAGTTATGAGCCAAACAAAACAACTAAATAAAAGAGAAAATGCCTGTAAAATGCAGAAAAATCATCCAATCATGATGAAAATACCAGGTGCACACCTTCATATGGTGAATAATAAGTGTACAAAGAACTATATGCAGTTATTAACCAACATTTGCCCCCCCAAAATCAAACTTTGATGGAGTAATATTTAATTAAATCCTTAAACAGGGGAGTATATGCTGACTTCAAAGCACTGAATAATTTCATAAGTAATGACGTCATATATACGTAATGATGTCACAAATATGACATAATTTCAGTTTTTTTATGAATTTTGCAGAAAAATGTACATATTTCGTCGATATTTTAAATAAAAGTCACCGAGCGCATGTGTGTTCAGGATAAATATTTTGATATAATGTGTAGAATGATAATATCAATGAAATATGTCAATATTGTTCCTGAACACACATGCGCTCTATAAATTTTAAAGCTTAAATTGTTGAAATTTTGTCCATTTTGTCCTCTTTCTGAAAAAGGATATAAAATCGGACTAGTTTGTGACGTCATAAAAACAGAAATTGTGAATACACTGCTCTGGAACTATAATATTTTCTGTTAACTTATATTTCTCATACAATTTATTGAATTCAGCACATTTCAGGAAGTTTTCAAAATTTGACTTTTGTGGGGGCAAACATATGCAATATACCGCATATAGTTCTTTTCAGACAAATCCATCCAATAGTTTCTGAGAAACGGTCCTGACAAAATCTTGTCTACAGACAGACAGACAGACAGACAGCTAGACGGACATGGTGATTCCAATATACCCCCCTAAACTTCGTTTGCGGGGGTATAAAAATTGTCTATAAAATTGTTTCAAAATGCTACTCCTCCTACAGTTTTGGTCTGAATTCAGTATAACTTGGCACACAAGTAGACTACACTAAGAACATAAAGAGACTTTATCAAGGATCATTATTCTATTTATTGCTGTTGTAAAGTTTCAATTCCCAACTGCTTAAGTACTTTTCTCTTCCTTTGCTATAAGTACAAACCAGTAGAGCTTCATTCTCGACAGAGACTTCTGGTTGTATGTGTTGTGGATTTTCAACGGCTAGTTTAGAGAAAAAAAAGTTTGTGTAAATCTTTATTTACCAGTTGTATTCAAATTCATTCAAATTTTCATGAACAGCAGGTTGCAGTTTTTGAAGTTAAAAAAAAGTTTGAAATGTATTAAAATACCTATTGTTTGTTGGGACTTTGGACTCCAAAATGTGATAGAACCCCAATGTCTGATGGTCATGCCAAAGTCCAATTATCTGTGCCAAACCCTGATGTTTTGACATGCCAAAATCTGATGATCGATGCGTAAAACAATTAACACTTATGAGGTCATAGTACTGTACAAAAATTTGATGTAACATCATGCCGAGGCTTTAAATAAATACAAATAGATATTAAATTCAAAGACTAACCCTAATTTTTTGGAGAAGTGTGAGGCTAACCATTTTCAGTTGAAAAACTGTTGAAATATCTTGGGTTAGTTCTGGACTAATCAAGATCAGCTGAATAGTGTGCAAGTACATTGACTAACCCTAAGTCTATTAGGTATATCTCTGGTGGGTACAAGCAGTAAGCAAAATCAGTAAAACTTAATGTGAAGCCTAATATTGAATTTATGGCTTTTAAATGTAGGACAATTGCATCAAGGATAGATGCAGGACTATTGTGACATCATAAACGTTGATTGTTCCTCAGCACCATCGGACTTTGGTGTATCAGACCATCACACTTTAGCGTTTTGTGTCTTATTGGAAACTTGCCATTGGACTTTTGTCTGACCATTGGAGTTTGGCGTCCATAAAGACAGCAAGCCATCATACATACTGATGGCACAGACTATCATACTATCGCAAGACCAATGCACTTTGAATTCTTACGTATATACACAGGATCTTTTGGGCTTGAGACTATGAAAGAAATGTTCTTCAAATAACGTTATTTTCAGCTGTTTTGAAATTTCCTTGCTTTGAAAAATGTTTGACAACTGGTGACAGCTATAATTATAAGATTTCATTTTTAGCTCTTCTGAGCCAAAGGCTCAAAGAGCTTATGCTATGGTCATTTGTGCGGTGTGCGTCGTGCGGTGTGCGTTAACTTTTTAGAATATGGGCCATAACTCAAGAACCCCTTGGCCAATCATTGTCAAATTTGTCAAAGGGTATCCTTGGCCCAAGGGCTACCTTTTATACTAAAACTAGGGTTGTGACCCTAAAATAAGGGGAAATAATCAGGAAAATAAAACCAAAAGTACTGGTTGCTAAAAAATCTTCTTGTCCAGAACCACCCGGCAGATTTTCACCAAACTTACATACAAGGGTCAGGATATGTTGAAGATTAAAAATTGTTCAAGGCATGACCCTGGGGCAAAGGGCGTGGTCTCAAGGTCACTTCAAAGTTAACCAAAATTTACACTTCATAAAAACGGTAATATTTTGCTTACTATAAAGACTAGGATCATCAAATCTTGTAAGTTGATGCATCTTAGGACTTCACATCATGTTAACACAAAAGTAGGTCACGGTGACCTACTTTTTAAATTTTACGGGCTTTTGTTTTCAAATTGATTTGGAGGCATATTTTGGTTACTTTAAGGCCTATGATCATCAAACTTTGTCAGTTGATGCATCTTGGGTCCTTGAACAAGGTCAACTTAGAAGTAGGTCACCGTGACCTACTTTTTGAATTTTATGGCTCATCTTTTGTAAAACATTTATTCCCATTATTTCAGATACTGAGAGGTTTAGAATCACCTAATCTTGTAAGTTGATGCATCTTGAGGCCTTAAAACATATTTATGAAAAAGTAGGTCACTGTGACCTACTTTTTGTATTTTGCAGGCATTTGTTTTTCAATTTGTTTAAAAGGCATATTTTGAATACTTTCAGACCCATAATCATCTAACTTTGTCAGTTGATGCATCTTGGGTCTTCGAAAAATGTTAACCAAAAAGTAGGTCACGGTGACCTACTTTTGACATTTTATGGCTTTATTTATGTATCTTAGGTACTTTTTGGCTTAGAATCATCAAACTTTGTCAGTTGATACAACTTAGGTTTTCGGAGAATGTCAACCAAAAAGTAGGTCACTGTGACCTAGTTTTGACATTTTATCGCTATATTTCAGTATCTTAGGTACTTTTTGGCTTAGAATCATCAAACTTTGTCAGTTGATGCAACTTGGGTTTTCGGAGAATGTCGAGCAAAAAGTAGGTCACTGTGACCTAGTTTTGACATGTTATGGCTATATTTCAATATCTTAGGTACTTTTTGGCTTAAAATCATCAAATTTTGTCAGTTGATGCAACTTTGATTATCGGAACATGTCTACCAAAAATTATGTCACTGTGACCTAGTTTTGAATTTTTATGGCTATATTTAAGTATTGTAGGTACTTTTTGGCTTAGAAACATCAAACATTGTCAGTTTGAGGCATGTTGGGTTTTCGGAGAATGTTGACCAAAAAGTAGGTCGAAATGACCTACTTTGGATTATCTCAGGTATGTATTGGCTTAGAATCATCAAACTTTGTCAGTTGATGCAACTTAGGTTTTCGGAACATGTCGACCAAAAAGTAGGTCACTGTGACCTAGTTTTGACATTTTTTGGCTATATTTAAATATGTTAGGTACTTATTGGCTTAGAATCATCAAACTCTGATAGTTGATGCAACTTGGGTGTTCAGAGAATGTCAACCATAAGAAGGTCACAGTGACCTACTTTTGAATATATGAGGTACTTATTGGCTTAGAACCATCAGTCAGTTAATGCACCTTGAGTCCTCAGAAAGTTTCAAAGCAAAAAGGAGGTCACCGTGACCTATTATGGTATTTTATAGCTATACTGATTTCAGAAATATCTTCAGTCCTAACTGGCCAAGAATCATCAAACATTGTCAGTTCATGCATTTTAGGATACTTAGAGTTAGGGGCTTCAAATAGAAGTGATAGACTGTACAATTTATCAGAAGAGCGATTCAAGGCCCTTGGGCCTCTTGTATTTTCATAATTTAGAAAAAAAATGTTTGTTTAACCTTACACCTGTGCAAATCTGTGTACTATGAATTCAAAATTCAATTTCATTTTATTTTAACCTGTACCTTTATTTTCCACCGTAAAATCTTTCATCAATGCATAACATATCAGATTAGACAGGCTTTACTGTGAACATAGTTTGAGAATTATGAAGCAGTTTTTAGCTTTCAATCAGAAATTTCAATTCTAGTCCTAACAAATATCTTTTTTATTCACTGTTATTAAACAGATATTGAGGCTCCAGTGAATGACTCGGAAAAACAGAAACAAGGTAATTTGGTTTTGTCTTCAGTTTTGCATGAATTTGAATTCCGAAGATTTTTAAGATATGACATTTTATTTATTTATTTAGTTAGTTTTTGTTCATTCATTTTATATAAAGGAATGTTAATGCCCTCTTGTGCATGTTTAGCATGTTCACTGAATTCTCTGTTTTGTTCTTTATCCTAGACAGACACAATTGCCAAATAAAAAAAAAGATTATTTGAAATTAAAAAAAATTGTAAGACTGCTAAAACAAAAACAAAATTGGTCTCTTTTCAATGAATTAGTATTTTATTTTCAAAGGAACATATTCTGAAAGCTAGGGAAGAAAATTACCAAGAAAGATTAAAAATATTTTTTAAGTTTCGAAAGTATTAAATTAACATGATTAATAAATAAAGTACTATTGTGGAAAACTGAGCTTCTACTAGATGGTACGTGTACTAGTCTTTTATTTCCTAAAAAAATAAGACATTGAAAGTGCTAAAACAAATAAGTTATTATTTGAAAGCATTGTGCATTGTCATGCTTGGACCTACACTGTAGATGGGGTTGGATGGGTAATGTTGGAGGGTCAGAGTGCCCCTCCTCCAATATTGAGTTATTAGATTGATAAATTTGAGAATAAAGTTAACATACATGTATAATAACCATGAACCCTATAGAGACTCAAATTCCCAGTAAAATTGTAAAAAAAAGAAAGAAATTAGTATAAACATACATATTGATGAAATGAATGAGACACTTGGTAGTCCCATATGGAAAATTACAGTGAATAATGCATACATGTTAACTCTCCCGATTTAGGCGGGAGTCTACCGCTTTTTCACTCCATCTCCCGCCTACCGATTTAATTAAGAAATCTACCGCTTTTCTACAAAAGCTGCGTCTAAAGTATTTTTGGTTCGCTTTGGTATCCATTTTTGAAGCCACTCTCATAAAATCTCGCTGGATATCGCGTGATTTGACTCGGAATCATACAAAAGCTTTTTTTGTACATAGATTTCAAGCACGGATTTGACAACGACAACAACATAAGACTACCACTGATTACATTGGTTACGATAAATTAATCAACATCCCTGCCATGAAAAAGGAGATGCAGCTTTTAAGAATTAGATGAAAACATTTGACATCGTCTTTAAAAGCACAGAAGCTCACAACTTTATCAATAAAGTCAATAGAAATCACTCGATTGACCACGCCATGTTGCACATCTCTACTTTCGTTTTCGGTCATCGCGGGAAATCTGATTTATATAACGAAAGATACAAACTTGTTTTAGATCTAGATTAAACCATGCGATCATTTGTTTTGTTTAAAAACTGAATGAACATTCAGAATTATTGCTTCTAGGCTATTTCAGCAAAGATCACTCTTCAAAAGGCTAAGTAAAGCAGCCAATCCAAGCAAAATGATGAGCATGAAAAAAATTGAATTTGTACAATTAATGTCAAACTTAAGGTGTTTCTGTCTTCTTATTGATATTTAAGATTAATTAGTGTAGGTACCTGATTTCATTTAAGGCTTATAATATACATGTATATTACATGAAAGATATCGATAATCCAAGCGTTAAACAACACGCGCGCAATGCTACCCCTTTTGAGGTCTGAATCTCCCTCTTTTTCATCACAATAGGTTAACATGTATGAATAATGATCCTTCTACCAAAATTGTCAAAGAAGGCTCAAGGTGTTCTCATTTTAAATATCAA